AGAAAACAAAGCAAGATCAGAGCGCACTCTGAGAATTTTTTTTCTTCCTATATAAAAGCAGTTTTGCAATGCTGCGCATGTAACCTAAATCTTTAAATGGTTGTCTGTTAAATGGCACAAGTACAGAAACACCATATGGATCAAAACTTTATAACTTTCATGTTTGAAACAGAATACACATATAAAATCCATAGTAATATATTCTTATTTTTGCATTAAAATGTTCTTAACCAATAGGTTGCTTTATTGTTTCTCTACACACTGTCTGTGAGCACTGTTGTGAGTGATGCAGAGAAATGATAATATATTTATCCTTGGAAATTTTTCGAAAGAATGATTATGCCTCTCATAGAAACTCATACAAATGTATTTAACGAGACATATATTATTGTTTGTTTTTGAATGGTAAGCTAATTTATAAAAAAATCAGATCTTCTTCCTAAATGAGTGCTTCCATCTGTAGGGCTAAACTTGTCACTGAAGGATTCGGTTAGCATCAAAGTGATGTGCATCATATAAATTTAACATATCCAGAACACTCGTGCAAGATTTTTGTCCATTATATTTTTAGTCCCCTCTAACACCAGGATCAACACATCACATTAGTCAATATCTTTTATAAAAATGATGTTTCATCCCTGTAATGCAGTTCCAGAGACTTCCAGAATTATTCCCAGTCTACAAGTGCAAGTGGAGGCCCAGAACCTTACTGTTACGCCTAATGTTGATTTCTGTCACTGAACCATATTTTCAATGTCTAATTTTTAAAGGCAGTTTCATGTCATATTATTTTGTAATGTTGCTGCTATGCCAATGTCCATCTGCTTCCAGAAAAATTAAACTGAGGGGAAAAAAGACAGTTTTTTTGTCTTCTGTAACTGATACTTTAGTGATGAAATGTATTAGTCAATGGAATAGTAAAAATAAAATCATTTAAAAAAGTAATGATGATGTATGATATTGGAAATTAATTTCACAGCAGCAGCTTTTTTAAAAGGTTCACTGAGATGGAACTACACTCTCCATTCCACAAGAGTTGAGATGTACGTGTAAAATGTAAATACAAGAGATTTAAATGTTTTAATGTCCCATAAGCCCATTTTTCATTCACTTTAGAACACAGAATGATATCAAATATTTAAACTGAGAAAACTATTTTGCAAAAGAAGAAGAAAAAAACGGTCAGGATTCTAACTGCTCAGTAGTTTTCAGTCCTACTTTTCTCACTTTTTCTTTTCATAATGGGCCAAATGTTTAGCACCTGGACTTTTTTATTTGAAGGCCTTGTTGTAGTAGATGCAGTATGCAGTTTAGTGTTGTCTTATACAATCTGAAAAAGATTCCATCTGCATAGAAGCATGGGCACTAATGCACATCCACACCATCAGTGATGCAGGCTTTGTAACTATCGGTAACAACCTGGATGGTCCCTCTCCTCTATACTCTGGAGGATGTGATGTCCATGCTTTTCAAAAAGAATCTCAAATTTCAATTCGTTTCATGGTGGAACAGCTTTCCACTTTGACTCAGTGTATTTGGATCATGTTCACAGATGTAGATTTTTCTTTAACCTCCATTTGTGGATCAGCAACACGTTCTGGAAGTTTTCCTGAGCCCATGCAGAATCCATCCTGTTTTT